GACACAATCAATGAACTTGGAGAATCCCCTTAAAGATTATTATTATTGTAAATCTGACTTGACTTGTGTCATCATTCCTACTACCTGACTCCGGTTGTCGTTACTTCTTTCTAGGTTAGGAGGATTACTTACATGCAGCTGGTTTTCCGCTGTGTTATTCCTTTTAGTGAATATTATGAAAGTTTTCTCTTCTATAGAATATAAATGCTTGCTTTAATGTCTTTGGTTGCAAAACTTAGATGAGTTTTTATCTCAATAGATTGTTCATTTTTCTGTATAAACTATTAAGATTATACACTATGAAAGGGAGCATAAGAGCCCATAACATTTAATGAGAAAAGAAATTATGTTCAAATTTCCTATTATCTACTAATTTTAAGTACATTTTAGTTGAAGAATCTTGGACATTGGAACTGTTCTTCTATAATGAAATTTGAATATTTGAAAGAAACTGATGATTAAGAATCTGAAGTAGGATGTCAGTTTTTGGTTTTTTCAGTTGACACAAAGATTTCAAAAGTTTGTTCAAAATTTTCACTTGAGAATTGTTAAGTGAAAATCTTTTCTTTTTTTCGTACCAGGGATCAAACTCCAGACCTTGTGTTTGTGAGGCAGGCAGTGGCACCGCTGAGCAAATCCCCGGCCCAAAAATCTTTTTTTTCTCTCCCTCATTTTATCACTTTTTCTTCTTCTTCTTAGATCTTTGGCAGAAAAGGATTTACAATTAGTTCTCATAAAATGTTTCTTTCCTACACACAAATCTCACACTCTGAAACATTAATTGGCTTTCTCCAAGTACTCACTGTGGGGAAATCTCCTCAGAAGCAGCCTGTGGAGGCTGAGTTAGAGTGCTGACGTCTTATCAATGCCATAGTGGGAAAATGTGTTCTCGATGAGTAAGCCATTGAGCTCGTTCAAGGCATCTGAATTAGCCCAGACAGATGGTTACTGATAGATGAGATATGGTCAGAAGGTGCCAGTTCTACTGCCTTGGAATTTTTTTGTAACAAAGTTTGTTTCCAAAGGAAAAACAAACCTGCAAATGAGTAAACAGCTTAAAAAATCAAACAAACAAACAAAGAGCAAGAATAAACTAATTCTTTAACAGAGAATCTAAGGAAAATGACTCAGAGATGAATGTGTGCTTGGATTATTTTATTCTAACTTTTTTTTTGCTTTTTTTTTGGGGGGGGTATCAATATCATTAAGGGCAGGAACCCACTGGATTGATATTCCACAAGCAGACTCCTACTGTGTGAGGTCTTCCTTTCCAGGAGTCTTTTTTGAGTCTATTTACTGAGACCTGAATCAAAATGTTAAACATCATATATAAAGAGTTCATGTACATTATGTCTTTAATCTGTTGAGAAGTTTCTGTTCTACTTCTAGTCTCCTGATAGCTTTTACCATGAACAGCTGTAGAATTTGGTCCAATACTTTTTCTCCAACGAGTGACAGGATCATA